CGGCCCTCGGCGCACCACTCACCAACGGCACAAAAGGCAAATTATGGAGATCATGTATATTTCCCTGTTCTAGCAGAGAATTCATTCTCATTTTGCACATTTGGTGACTGGTGCGGCGAGGCCGTCGTGTTCAGGAAGCATTTAGGCCTGTCACTACGTCTTCAATCCGATCCGATCCGATTCGATCCGATTCGATCTGATCGGACTCGATCGGACCCGATCAGACGGGATCCGATCGGATCATTCCTATCTGATCCGGTCCTTCTTAATTACAATTACAAGCAATTGGATCGTGGGGATCGATGAGATATGGATTCGATCCGATCCGATCCGATCCGATCCGATCCGATCCAGTCCTACTTAATTACAATTTCAAGCAATTGGATCGTTTCCAGCGATGAGATTTGGGTTCAATCCGATCCGATCCGATCCGATTGGGTCTCTAGCCTCAGGGCTGAGGGCTGAGTCCCTGAGTCCCTGAGGCCCTGAGTTCCTGAGGCCCTGAGGCCAGAGGCCGACGGGTCCTCTATGCTGGCAAAGTCTGGAAAAGACGACATTTTTGCTGGGAAACTCTGTGGGCCTGGTAAAGCTGCTGTGAAACATATATTTCTGCAAGGGAAACATGGATTCGATGATAAATTTGCTGTCAAGCTTTCGAAAAGCAATGTTTTTGCAATTTACCCTTGATTGATGGATGTATTCATTGAATGTGATGATTGATTGAAGGGATTGATGGACAAATAGCAGGTGTAAAGTGAAGAGGAGTGATTGATTGAATGAACTCATTGATTGACTGAATGGATTGTGAGACCAGTTATTGACAAGGAAACTTGGGGGTCTTGTGTGACCAGATATTGTGAGAAGGAGACCTGCCAGTGGGAGTTCGATTGCTGATCATTGAATCGGGATTGGACTGTGATTGGGTCGTGATTGGGTCGTGATTGGGTCGGATTGATATCGGGGATCGCATGGCAGGAAGGGAGACCTGGGAGTTCGTTTGCTGATCATTGGGTCGGGATTGGACTGTGATTGGGTCGGGACTGGGTCGGAATGATACGGGGATCGCATCGCAGGGAGGAGGACCTGGGAGTTCGTTTGCTGATTATGGGATCGGGATTGGACTGTGATTGGGTCGGGACTGGGTGCGGAATGATATGGGGGATCGCATCGCAGGAAAGCGTTAATTTGCCGGACAAGCCGAGGAGAGCGGCAGAGAGAAGGAATGCAGCAGAGAGGACTCCAAGGAGGACGCAGGGCGGCGAGCTGAGGAGTGGGCAGGAGGAAGAAGAGAAGTGCGCGAGGCGAAGTTAGGAGTGAGAGAGAAACTACCTTAGTCTGGAGTGAGAGAAGACTCTGTCTGAGGAGGGAAGTGGGAAAATTGAGGAGAGAGGAACGCAAGCAGACGGGCGATTGGTCACTGCCTCCCTTGTTTGCATTGATGTGGCGGAGGGAGGTGCTGAGGGAGGCATCACTGGAAGTTTTACATCCGGATTTCCAGCACTGGTAGAGCGAAGTCGGCAGATCGAAGTCATTGAACTGCTAATCTTTTTTGGCGACGCGCATTTGGGACACTTTCGGTGGAGAGGGATTGTTGTTGTTTTGAATGAGGACGTGAAACGGAGACCGTAGACCCGCTAACGGCGTGCCTTTCATCCTCATTCACCTGGCCCCTTATCTGCTCTCTCTCTCTCTCTCTC